GATTTCTGAAGATCATGTGACACTGAAGACTGGAGTAATGATGCTGAAAATACAGCTGCGCATCACAGAAATAAATTACAGTTTAACAGATATTCACATAGAAAACAGCTGTTTTAAACTGTAATAATATTTCACAATATTACTGTATTTACTATAATTTTGAACAATAGCATGTGTAAAACAGTATTTTTCATTACATTGAACAATTTTATTGAATAGTTGATAGTGATCTCCACAAATGATACACACAAAGTTGCCTTAGTATCTTATGAAGCAGCCTCGATGCCCAAAAATGCTCCTCCTTAAAGTCTCAAGGAGATGAACGTGGTCATTTTGAATTCATTTTGAATTCTCTCTCAGACTTTCTGAATCCTGTCACAAAAGCCACGTTCAGTTCCATCTCCCTGACCCTCGTAACAAGCCCCGTTATCCTACATTGATAACTTCTTCCTTTTCTCTCATTTTTAATTAAAGCTAATTAAAAATGCCAGCCTCGTTTAGTCACTGACAAGATTCATCTGTGTTCCTGATATACAAATAAATGCAGGCGCGCACGAGCGCTGCTTCATATTCATGAGCGCGAGGTGACACCGTCTCCTCATTCTAAAGCAGTGCGTTCAGCAGATTCGGGCCCCCGCGGACCCCCAGTAAAATTTAATGGTCTTAGTGCAATGACATCAAAAAGCCTCTATGTCCAGCCTTCGCTAACGCTCTACTGGATCTCAACTTTTCCGAATAATGCACCATCGACACAAATGTGCCAGAGTTCAATGTGAAGCGCGGCGATGTAAAGCTCTCGGTATGCAAACGCCACGATTAAGCGGCGAGAGAAAACAACGTTTTTTAAATGAGGTCGAGATGCGACCTGTGACACGAGGTCGAGAGGGAATCGACAATGACGTGCACCAGAAACCGCTTTTTGATGCTGATTCTATCAAAAAGTCATGTGTCACGGCTCTACAAGATGATGTTATTTTCTTATTTATTCATGAGTTGAAGCAACTTTTCCACGAAAGAGTAAAGAAGCTTGAGTGTTTGAGCTCATGATGTCAGGTACAGAGATCCATATGTTTGCTTCTGACAACCAATAACTGTTTTATTAATGCTTGGTAAAACAGAGCATTTGTGACCCTGGAGCACAAAAGCAGTTTTAAGTCGCTGGGGTATATTTGTAGCAATAGCCATCAAATACATTGTATGGGTCAAAATTATAGATTTTTCTTTTATGCCAAAAATCATTAGGATATTAAGTAAAAATCATGTTCCTTGAATATATTTTGTAAATTTCCTACCGTAAATATATCAAAACTTAATTTTTGATCAGTAATATGCATTGCTAAGAACTTAATTTGAACAACTTTAAAGATGATTTTCTCAATATTTAGATTTTTTTGCACCCTCAGATTCCAGATTTTCAAATAGTTGTATCTCAGCCAAATATTGTCGTATCCTAACAAACCATACATCAATGGAAAGATTATCTATTCAGCTTTCAGATGATGTATACATCTCAAATTGACCCTTATGACTGGTTTTGTGGTCTAGGGTCACATATGACCACATTAAAAAAACATAATAATATGAACATATTACTGGCATCATAATAATCACGTTTCTGGTTGTCCCTCCTGATGATGGATGATAACATTTCTTGAACTTACATTCAAGAAGAGACCTGAGACCAGAAGATCTGAGATTTGAGGACAGGCTCTTTTGCGCAGTAAGAAACTACCTAGCAACCAGCCAGAACACCCTAGCAACTGCATCGCAACATCCTGGCAAGTACTGTGGCACCAACTAGTTATGAGATGCCATTAGTTTGATATAGACTATTATTTCATCATCATTCATATATTTTATGTATTATAGCTTTTGTTAATATTTTTAATTCATTTTATTTTTATATTTTCTGTTTTCATTTTAATTTCATTACATTTTCAGTAATGTTGTGTTTTTGTAATTTTCATCAGTTTTAGGGTGTTTATTTGTATTATTTTAGTACTTCAACTTAAACTAAATGAAAATTAGAAATCTTGGCAACTATGTGAAATAAGCTTATTTTATTTTATTTCATTTCAATTTTTTTTTAATTCTTGTTTTAAGTAATCATAATAACCCTGGAAACTGATGAGAGCTGTGATGTGTGTGCATGATGACGACACTAAAGTATGTCTTGACCTGTCAGTGCTGACCATTCAAACTAGTTCGGCCTAATATTTTGGAAACTGACTCCCTATGTTTGCTGTCGTCACATTTCTCTTTAAGAGTCCTTCAGAGTCTCTTTCAAGAGTCTTCAAAAGCACAAATGGCGAATGTGCACAATTCCCATTTTTTGTAAGGTTTTTGAGCAGTAATTCCCTTTTGTGAAGATTTAAAAGGATAATTCACCGCTGACAAGATGGAGCTCTAATAAAACTTTTCTGTCTATGCAGTGGAAATGTGATGTTTTTAAATCAGTGTTACACGACTAGAGAAAACAGAGAAGGGCTATGGTGAAAAAAGGTGGCAGAACTTCAACACCCATGATGCACTGGGCTTGATTAGACCATCTGTGAATGGGAATACAAAAATGCGGAAGTACGATCTGTAGTTTTCACAAAAGCCCTGAAGCTGTCAAACGTAAAACGCGTCATCTGCTGGACTTTTGCAGACAGTTAAACAGGAATATCTTGCTGCAGGTAACACGGAAAATAATGCACACTGTTTATTTAATTACACTACCAACATAGATATCTGGACTTTAATTCCTAAAACTAACAATCAAACAATTTCTGTTATCAAATATTCCTATTTTTATTTATTTTTTGGACGCTTCAACAGTATAAATATAATAGCTTGTATATGTATACTGATGTATTTGAATGTCATTTAATGACTATTCTGGTAGCTGTATCCAGTATGTTATTTCTGCATAATCTCTTGATTTTCAAAAATTATTGTATTTTTTAAAATTATTTAAGGTCTTTTTATTTTTGTTTGTGAGAGTGAGTGACAGAAACATACGGCCTGAAGATCACACGTTTCTGAGCCTCAAGCCATCAGGTCTTTTAAGCCTAGTGTAAGTGTGTTTGTCATGAAGTCATGTTTATGAATGAATATAATTTATCAATCACAGCAGCTGGACTCTCACTGAATGAGCTGCTTTATCCAGCACCCTTCTGGAATGCCGTACAATAAATCAGCAGCCATTAGCTTGAATTCTGTCTGAATTTCATAAGCTGCGGAGCTGCTGTCTGTTAAATAGAGTAAATGTGTTTGAAACAGAGCTTGTGGGAATCATCTACTCACCACTTTCATTGTCGGAGGCCTCGGGGGTTTGTGGCCTCAGTCGCCGGCTTCGGACACAGGGACAGACGTCATGTTAAACACAAGAGATCAGAGACAAATACTCCATCCATGAGTAAAACAGCTTCTGAGATGGTGAGATATAGCTAAAAACACATTCCTCCATATTTACACATTCACTAATGGTTTATTTTTCAATCAGAAGATCCATCCTTTTAACCAAACAGCCATTGTAGCCAAAATAGTAATTGCAAACAGAAAAGTAAATGTTTAGGAAATAATAATATTTCATGGCAGACGGGGGTGTTGAGGAAACCTGTGTGAGAATAATTATTATTTTGTATTTGGTTTGCAGCGTTTGGTCCTGGTAGTGGTGTAGAAATTAAATACTTCACATTTAACATTTTGGTAACACTTTACGATAAGTTTTCATTTGTTAGCATTAGTTAACTACACTAGTAAACAATAGTTCTACAGTACTAATACTTTTTCAAAATCAAAAGTATGTGTTAACGTTAGTTAATGCACTGTGAGCTAACATGAATAAACTATGGAAGCTTGTTTCTGGCATGGGATGAAAAAAATAAAAAGGTACTTGTAACTTTTTATCTCACGATTCTGACGTTTTACTTGCAATTCTGAGGTAAAAAACGTAGAATTGCAAGACATAAACTCGCAATTGCAAGAAAAAAATTTAGATGAGTCGCAATTACCTTTTTTATTTTCTAGTCTGTGGCAGTGGGAAAAAAATAGAATTCCAAGATGTAAACTAAGGGGAAAAAAATAATTTTGAGGAAAAGAAAAAAAATTCAGAATTGCAAGAATAAGAGTCAGAATTTTAAGATAAAAGGTATCTTAATTTGTTATTCCATGGCAAAAACAAGCTTCCATAACAAAAAATGAAGAATACTACATTTATTAACTAGCATCAACAAAGATTAATAAATATATTTCTCATTGATAGTTCATGACATGTTAGCAAATGCATTAATTAATGTTAACGAATGGAAAGTGTTAGCAACATGTTTATACCTGCCAGTCACAAGACAAGGTGTAACTAGTGTAATGTGGCAATCTTTAGGAAAATTAATGAACAAATAAAAATCATAGTTGATAATCATAATGTTCAGAAAAATCACTATGAATATATGATGATTATATACTGTGCAGTCCTAGTGGTGATGACGCTAGTGATCTAGTCCCTAACCGCAGGTTATAAATGTGTCCCTGGAGCACAAAAGCAGTCTTAAGTTGCTGGGGTATATTTGTAGCAATAGCCAACAATACATTGTATGGGTCAAAATTACAGATTTTTCTTTTATGCCAAAAATCATTAGGATATTAAGTAAAGATCATGTTCCATGAAGATATTTTGTAAATTTCCTACCGTAAATATATCAAAACTTAATTTTTGATTAGTAATATGCATTGCTAAGAACTTCATTTGGACAACTTTAAAGATGATTTTCTCAATATTTAGATTTTTTTGCACCCTCAGATTCCAGATTTTCAAATAGTTGTATCTCAGCCAAATATTGCCCTATCCTAACAAACCATACATCAATGGAAAGCTTATTTATTCAATAAAAAATTCAAAAAATTTAACAATTGAAAAATTGACATTTAAGACTGGTTTTGTGGTCCAGCGTCACATATGTAAACTCCACCATCACATCTTTTAATCAGAGTGATTGTTCTCACATTAACCAAGGACAAATTCAGCACGAGGGTAATTTCCTCCTTAAATCAAGAGCATAAACAAACATTCCCGTTTCTCGAGATTTCAGCTCCTGATCACGGCGTGTCAAAGTGAAACAGTAAAGGTGTAAACTCACTCCTCCAGCTCTTCTGCAGCCAGCCGGCGTCCGGACCTGTGGAGGACATCACAAATCAACAATCAGCATCACGATCACAGCTCGTCTGCTCAGTCTGATGTCTGCTGTAACGTGCTCTCCAGCAGAGTCTCTCATACACAACACACTGGGAGCATTAATTAATGACATTTGATTTGAAAAACTTTAATGTGGTGAATAATCATTTGCACACATTTCTAATGTCTCTAAATGATCAACATGATCAAAATTTTGCTGTTAAAGCTGTTTCACACTCAATCTCCTCATGTCTTCTGTCTCTGATTGATAGTTTAGAGTTGCAGTTAAAGCTCTGTTAGTGTAATTGTAGAAACGTCCAGCTTCAGCTGGAGCTTCACGTGTCAAATCTTGACTGATTTTGATCAAGTAAGCGTCAGAATAACTGCAGTAATATCTCCAGATGAACACTTACTGGACTGAAGCAGCTCAGCTTTACTTGATTCTCCATCAATCATGTTTTAGTCTCAAATCTGATCCTCAGGATCTTTTGAGGAGCGTTTGTTTCCAGAAGCTTTACTTTCACTGTTCCTCAGCGGAGGAATGATCTTCACAAGCCTCCAGAACATCTCACATCTTCTGAGGAGCCTTTATTTCTTCAGCTCTCAATCACTGCATTATATGTTTGGATCATTTCAATCTCATCTTACTGAGACAGATTACTGCAGATATAGAGCGACCACTGATATTTATAGCATTTTATGTCAGTATCTGCTATACAGTTATAAAGATCTCAGCATCTGCAGCAAATTCATATTTTTGCTCAGTTTGAGTCTCTGGATAAAACTGAGCTGTTTTTTCTCCATATTCTCTCTATTACAGAGCCGTAAAAGCCTGATGCATCAAATATGATACTCAACAAAAACACATATGCAGACTATTTGTTTTAGATTTTTTTTAGTCTAAAGGTTCAACAAAATGTTCCATTTCAAAGAATTATACTATTAGACTATTATTCCATAAGCCAGTGTTTACAGGGTTAACGTGAGATACAGGCTGGTTTTCTGCTGGTGTTGAGCGCCACCTAATGGATCCTGACAGCAATGTACATCTCAAGTCTCTAACATAATCAAAGCATTCAAGCCAGTGTTTTATGCTAACCCTAAGATAATAAACAATTAAAGGATCAAATATACTTTTAAAATGCATTGATATCCTGAAGCTACTGTGCATTCAGAGATTCCCAAAAGCTTGGATACTGCATTTCTGTGTCAAATTGAGCTTTTGTAACCTTAGGAGCATTAAAGGGTAATACAGTAATGTGTAAAGAGTAACATAGTAACGCGGCTGCTGTTTAAGACTCATTACAGCGCTCTCCATTAAGACCCGTGTAACGCAGTGCAATAAACACGGTCTGGAAAAAGTTGTTCAGGATAAAATATATTGTGACAACTAAGCTTCAAAGCTTCATCAATAAACTGACAGATCATTTAGTGTCAATCAGGAGTGATAGATCTGCAAATCCCAGGATTTCTGCTGTGGGATTAGCGGAAACAGAGCGCCGGTGATTGAGCACGAGGGGTCACATTGAGATGAAGAAAAAGTCCTTGTCTTCTTCAGAGGGGACGATTACTTTGTTTCAGAAGGAGAATCAATGTGTCGAGAAGCCTTTTAACACCTCCCAGCCGAGAGAATCAAGATAAGTTTGGCAGGCGTGCAGAAGCGACACTTTGACCTTTCCTGAGAGACGTGTAGAGTTTGCTTCAATCCCCACTAACTGAGCCAACAGCCGTGTTAACATACTAACATTTCTCCAGCATACAGTATGTCTACTATTTTCAAAATAACAATTTCTAAGTTGATAACTGGACAAGTGTGATGAGGTCATGTGATTATTAGTATAGTCAGCTTGTGGAAATGCTACTTGTGATGAACTTGTCGTTTTATTGACCACCTGTGTTTTCATATACAGTAAAAACTACCATGTTAACTTTGGTATATTAACATATAATTTCAACATTGATAATAATCAGAAATGTTTCTTGAGCAGCAAATTAGAATGATTTCTGAAGATCATGTGACACTGAAGACTGGAGTAATGATGCAATGATGCAGAAATAAATTACATTTCACAATATATTCACATAGAAAACAGCTATTTTAAATTGCAATAATATTTCACACTATTATTGTTTTTACTGTATTTTTAATCAAATAAATGCAGCCTTGGTGAGAAGAAATTTCTTTCAAAAACATTCAAAAACCTTACCCACCATAAACTTCTGATCAGTAGTGTATATAGTGGTTTTATCATGTACTTAGCATGAAGATGAATGTGTCATAAGAAGAATAGGAAGTCGAAAAACAACAACAGGATCTCAACAAACAGAGAGGATCTCAGCAGCACCGTATGCAATGTTTTCACTACCCTACTGACTGCTGCTTCTTGTTTTGTTAAATAAATTTAGCGCTTTTCTTTATACAGATGATTGCGTTGTTTTCTCTGATAGAATTAACAGGTTATGGTAAATGCTGCTCTCAGCATGCACAGAAATTGTGTTCAGAATATGAATGCACGGCAGACTTCAGAGTATACGTTCAGAATTTGTAGCTGGATTGAACCGATTCATAATGATGAAAATATGTGCATACTCATCAAAAACGTCATACTGAAACATTGGTGTTTCTGTTTTCTTACATTAGAGATCACATGTGAATTACTGAAATAAACACTGGCAGAAAGAGTGATCATAATAATCATTCTGGTCGGTCCAGTAAAACTCATTTAACAGGAGGTGACTCCATCATGTGGTGACTGACCCTCATTGCAGCGGGGCCACAGCTAAATGCGATTCTGGGGGTCCAGAACAAACCCTATAGCACTGATGCTGGATTAATTTACATTTAGTCATTTAGCAGACGCTTTATCCAAAGCGACTTACAAATGAGGACAATGGAAGCAATCAAAACCAACAAGAGAGCAATGATATGCAAGTGCTATAACAAGTCGCAGTTTCACTGAATCATATTTTTGTTCATTAAAGTCTTTTCCTTTTTAAGCGCTTTGGTGTAATTTCCTGCCTTCACAGACCGACTGTAGCACAAGTTGTTAAGATTTGACTGCAGCCTTTGAAGAAGAATT